GTGTGTGTTTGTGTGTATGACCAGTGAGACAAGTTTGTAGGTATGATGATCAAACAAATTTAAAGACATTTATTATTATGATTAATAATAATATTAATCATAATAATATCATTATTTACTTGATGAAGCATATCGCTATACGTTGAAGGAACAAGCTGTGTGAAATAAATGTACGCATTTTGCGTCTAATTTTGAACAACTATAGCCTAAATCGTTACCAAACGGGACGCTCACTAAATTGACATGGGTGTAGCTGACGCCGGCACGCAAACTAAACAACAGTAGATGACGAGTGCCAAATGCGTTGATAAGTCTGAATGAAAATTCAAAAACTCAGGCTGATTCTGCTTCGAAACGTGCATTTACTGGGAGCGTATCCATTCAAATGATATTTATCTTTGATTAACCATCTAAAATGTTGAAGCATAAAAACTGATACACTAAAAAACAAGCGAGCAACAAACGTAAACAGATCTGCATGAGCAATGTAGAACAGTATATGCTTCCTTGGGACAAAAATAATACAATAAAAGAAATCGCTGTACTTACAAATCCGTGCTTATCCGATATGTTATTCGTGAGCTTGAGTTTATGAAAAGCAACAGGCTTGGCCATCCACTGGTCGCCAGTGGCTGGACTGTCCGGGTGGATGTACATTCTCTTGGGCATCTCTGGGTCGGCCTTGCCCGCGACCATCCAGCGCGAGTTGTGGAACTTGTAGCGGCAGTCATCCGCAGCCACGATGTCCATTAGCAAAATGTATTTAGCTTTTTTATCAAGCCCATTTATTCGTACTTTGAAAGGTGGAAACATCCTCCTAGAAAGAAAGATATTTATGTCAGATGCGGGGAAAAAAAACAAAATTGACACAAAAAAACTAAAAGTGGCGGTAAAAAAAAAAACGACAAAGGGTTGTTATATGTAATTGTTTAAAGTCGTGCGTTGGGGTTTCTTTTCTGACTCTGCTTGTCCCTGCAGCTGTTTGTCTTTATTTTACATTGAATTTGCATCCGCATCATCGCGTGTCTTTCAAGCTTATTTAATGCTGCAACAGTGGTGTTTTCCGAATAAGAATGAATTGCCTGCTGCTGTTTAATTCAGTACGAGGAAATGTTCGGGCCAAGATTTACTCTTAGCTACATTTTGTTTGAGTCAATACTTTTATCAGCCATGCATAATTCAAACGTGATGACATGTATTTTCATTTTGCTTCTAATTTCACGACTGTTTAAGTCCTATCTCACTCACGCTCTCTCTCTCTCTCTCTCTCTCCCCCCACACGCACACA